TAAATTTCGGTAATCTCGACTGAGCTTAATTAATTCCGAAAGTAATAAACGATAACATTATTATATCGGAATTAAACGTAATTTATACCGATAAAATATCGGGATATTACATCCTCCACTGCCGGACGAGCAGGCGGAGGAGTCTTCCTCGTGGATCCCCACAAGAAGCTCTTTTGTCATTCGATGCAATATCTCTTCTCGGCAACCAACAACGAAGCCGAATATGAGTCATTGCTATCCGGGCTCGCCTTGGCAGAAGCCATGAGTCTAACCGACCTCATCATATACTCAGATTCCATGTTGATGGTTAATCAGATATCCGGAGATTTCAAGGTAAAGGAACCAAGATTGGTCCAATACCTGGGGTTGGTGAAGAAGAAACTGGCCAAAATCCGGGCCAAAATAGAACATATCCCTCGGACAGAGAACGTACAAGCCGACGCACTGGCCCGCCTCGCCTCAAGTGTCGGGGTGGAAAGCGTCGAGTATGTCCAGGTCGGACACAAGGAACAGCCATCCGTGCTCGGCACTTCCGTGCTGAGTGCCGAGTAGGGGGTAGAAGATCAAGATCCGGGCTGGATGGTCCCGATCCGTTCGTATCTCGAGACAGGTGCGTTGCCGCCGGACCCAAAAGAGGCCAGGCAGCTTCGTACTCGGGCAGCTCGATTTACAATCGTAGCCAGAGAACTGTTCAAACGGGGTTACTCGGCACCTTTGCTCAAGTGCGTAGATGAAAGGAGCGTCGAATACATACTTAAAGAAATCTACGAAGGCGTATGCGGGAACCACTCAGGGGGGCACGCCCTCGCACACAAGGTCCTTAGACAAGGCTACTACTGGCCGAGTCTGAAGAAGGACGCTCTGGACTTGGCCCGGAGATGTACGAAATGTCAAACCTTCGCGCCCAACATCATCCAACCGTCGCAGCCCCTAAAATCGATTCTCAGCCCGTGGCCATTCGCCAGGTGGGGGGTCGACCTGATCGGCCCCCTTCCTACCGGAAAGGGCGGGATGAAGTACGCGGTGGTTGCAGTGGATTATTTCACGAAATGGGCGGAAGCCGAACCGCTTGCCACCATAACAGAACAGAAGATGATAGATTTCTTATGGAAGTTCATCATATGTCGATTCGGAGTGCCGAACTCGATCATCACCGACAATGGTAAACAATTCGAAGGGAGGAAGCTGGAGACGTTCTGCGAAGAACACAACATCAAACACTTCTTCTCGACACCTTACCATCCCCAGTCTAACGGCCAGGTCGAGGCAGTAAACAAGATAATCAAACAGGGGCTCAAGGTCCGACTCGAAGCCGCGAAAGGGGCCTAGCCGGAAGAACTCCCGGACATACTCTGGGCCTACCGCACAATGGCCAGATCGTCAACTGGCGAAACGCCATTCTCACTGGCATATGGGTCTGAAGCAATGATACCAGTCGAGCTCGGCGCCCCAACGTTTCGAGTAACCAACTTCGAGGAAGAGTCCAACTCTGAGAGCCAACCTCGACTTGATTGACGAGCACAAGACGCAGGCCGAGCTGAAAAACGCAGCATACAAGAGACGGAGTGAAAGATACATCAACTCTCAGGTCAAACCGCGCTGGTATCAGGTCGGTGACTTGGTGCTCAAAAGGGTGACGGGGCCCGACCCCAGACCCCTCAAGCCAAAATGGGAAGGGCCATACAAAATCCGCGAAGTCCTCCCTCACGGGGCCTACCGTCTTGAGCATCTCGACGGCACCCCCCACCAGTACCCTTGGAACTCGGCGTTCCTGAAGAAGTTTTACCAGTAGGTCTAG